GCCCATCATAGGCGGAGCAGTTGAAGTACCGGCTGAAGGGGACAACCAGTGCCTGCACCGGACTTGATCGACCTCCAGGGAATCTTTGGAACGCCTGAAAGAGGTACGTCGGATCCGGGAAGATGAACACCTGCTGACGGGCGTCAATGGCGAGGTGGAGGGTGCCGCGAACGATGACGCCGAAGACGCCGGGCAGCTCCTCCACCCTCGGCAACTGCTCTTCAGTGACAGCTGAACTGCTGTTTGGCTGCTGCTGAGTCACTGCTGCTGCTGCCTTCTTTTGTGAAGTACCACCAGAACCAGAGGTGCTGGCGCTGAACTGCACCCAAATGCCTTCCGCGGATGAACGGGTAAGGGCGTAGAAAGAAGGCCTGGGCGGCTGTTCGTGACCGGTAGTGGGAAGATTCATCTGCATGCTCGCCCGATCGAGCACTGGATCGGGGACCCAGGCAACAGCTGCGGAACCAGCGGTAAAGCTGTCTGCTCGCAAGACATAGCTCCGGGTGGCGCCCACGTCTTTTGGGCGGCCATCGCTGATGATGCCGTACTTGCCCAGCATCTGCTGTTGATCTCCATTCACCTCCTGACCATTGACCAGGCTGATTAGCTGGTGGTGAAGCTCCTCTCTCAGCTCGCCCTGGAACTGCACGCCAATGAAGCCATCCTCGCCGTCGAACAGGTTCAGCGCCTGCAAACCGCCGCCTTTGACTTTGCCCAGTGCCGTAGAGCGCAGCCACTCGATGCGATTCCACCTGCCCAGCTGTTGAGCATTGTCGCTCGAAGACAGCGGCACAACGCCCTTCACACTGTCCACCTCGTCCAGGGGCACACTGGCCGTCCNAGTGCCGTAGAGCGCAGCCACTCGATGCGATTCCACCTGCCCAGCTGTTGAGCATTGTCGCTCGAAGACAGCGGCACAACGCCCTTCACACTGTCCACCTCGTCCAGGGGCACACTGGCCGTCCAGTTGTTGATGATCACCAGGAGGCGGTCCTCCTTCATGATGGTCAGCGCTTGCAGGTGGAAGGGGTTGTTGTGGGAGAGCATGGCACCGCAGATGTGACCTGTTTCGGCGGCAGTTGCCTGGTGTTTGCTTTTTTGGAGGATTGAGAGCAGCAAGGTCAGCTGGAGAAAGATGAAGATCACCACCAGCGGAAAACGGAAAAAAAGTTTGGGAACTATCATTCTTTTACAGAAGAGATCAAGTTTCGGGTATTGAATAAAATCAACGTTAATTCGATGATGATGGTGATAATGATGATGTTTCGATCAATCGCTTCTGGTTCNCAAGGTTCGGGTATTGAATAAAATCAACGTTAATTCGATGATGATGGTGATAATGATGATGTTTTGATCAATCTCTTCTGGTTTAAAGTTCAAAGTTTAAAGCACAACAGTTTTAGTGCAACGTGGCACTGGTATTGTTGTGAGTCAGCACATGCTGCGGTGCAAACGAACTGAACGTTTCCCCTACGTTGAACAATTTCAAGTGCATTGCACCAGACACAATTGCAGCAGCGGTCTCGCAGTCAAAAGGTTCACTCTCTCACTGAAAGTCAGTCCTCTTTCACCTTTTTCCTTTCTCTCTCTCTTTCTCTTTTGAAAACTACTAATTTTTCTGGCATCTCCCTTAAGCCATGAACCGAAATAATCAGGCCGGCAATAGAGTGCCGCCGCCGGTGTTCAGCTGTCCCACCTGCTTCAGCCTCTTCATGCGAGAGGACATCTTTCGCCTGCACATTGGCCAGTGCACCGGCAGCCCAGCCATTGAATTGGCCAGGCAGCTGGCGCAGAGAGCCAACAACTCCTCCTCTTCTTCTTCTTCTTCTTCCTCAAATTCCTCCTCTTCAAATGGCTCCCGAGTGGTGGTGGTGGTCGCTGAGGCCGACTCTACAGTGCCCGATCATCAGCTCAAGAGTTAAATTGTTAAAATATAATTTTTCCGATATCTAAATTTTTCATAAATAAAATTGTAACATTTTCCCTATGCCTTCAATTGAACTTCAGAATTCAGGTGTTTTCCACATTATCATTTGATCAGAGGGGCGCGGAAAACTCGTCACGGGTAGATGGCAGGTACTGTCAGTTGTACGTTCTCTTTGAACATTTTGAAAAGCTCGCAGCGTTAATGAAATTGCATCATTTCTCTCGCTCTCGCTCTCTCCTCTTCCTGCTTCGAGACTTTCACCCAAATCTCCCGCTTGTTCTCAGCTTCAGCTACCAAACAACTCCGCAAAAAATCCTTCTCCTGAAACACGATGGCCCCTGTGCTAAAAGTCAAGTCCACCGATGATCAGATTTTTCCCGTCGAGGAGAAGATTGCTCTCCAATCAGAAGTCTTCAAAAAAATGCTCGAGAACGTAAATGACTCGGATTCAGAGGCTACCTGCTCTTGTGACTGTGATGGCGCCGTCCTGAAAAAGGCATTGGACTGGCTGACGCATCACCAGGATGACACGATCATCCCCGATGAGGACGATTGCGACTTCAAGGAGAAGGATCTGGACGAGTGGGATGCCAAGTTCTTCAAGAGCATGGACATCGAAACTCACTGCGAACTGCTTATTTTGGCCAACTATCTGGACGCCAAAAGCTTGCTTGTCCACAGCGCCAAAGCCTTGGCTCGTTTAATGAGCGGCAAGACAGTTGAAGAAATGCGCTCTTATATTATGACTGCTGATGAAATTGCCCAAGAAGTTGAGCGCGAGAATGGCGAAAAGATGAAAACTGATGTGAAAGGCGCTGAGAAAAAGGCTAAAAAAGAAAAACTCGAAAAGGAAGATTCCGAGGAGGAAATGTCTCAGGATGAAGAGCCCGAAGAGGAATCATCTTCCGATTCCAGCGATGATTGAGTAAATACTCTCGCTTACTCTAATTTATACCATTCCAAATAATATTTCGTATTGTTTTTTACTTATGTGCTCAGTCGATGTACATTTGAGTTTTGTCGTTTGTTATTGTGAGGAGAATAAAGTCATTTGTTNAGATTCCGAGGAGGAAATGTCTCAGGATGAAGAGCCCGAAGAGGAATCATCTTCCGATTCCAGCGATGATTGAGTAAATACTCTCGCTTACTCTAATTTATACCATTCCAAATAATATTTCGTATTGTTTTTTACTTGTGTGCTCAGTCGATGTACATGTGAGTTTTGTCGTTTGTTATTGTGAGGAGAATAAAGTCAGTTGTTTTATTCAACATCAGGTGATACCAACAACTCACATCGTTCTCGAACAAATCGACTCAGAAATGAATGCACTTTATTAAGTTACAGGCAATGATCAGTTTCAGTCATTTAGTTGGTTGAATCAAGTTCGGTCCCTCTAGCACTCTGGCACCTACTTCTCCTGAAGAAATTCCGCCATCAGCTTGTTCACCTCCGCCGGCTTCTCCAGCTGAATCCAATGCGAGCAGTCCTCAATGTAGTGCACCGTCGACCGGGCGCAGTACCGGGCGCTGTCCGCCGCCAGCACCTCAATCAGCGCCGTGTCATTGCGGCCCCAGAGGATGAGCGTCTTTGGTTGAACTGAAGGCGTGGTCGTCGATGACTCGGGCACCTGTCCGTAGCCACGCAGTCGGGCGCGGTAGTAGTTCAGAGGGGCGGTGGTGCCGTTCGGCAGCGAAAAGTAGTGCTTGTACACGGCCGTTTCTTCAGGTGCATTTTTCGAGTACTTCCCAAAGAGCACGTCAAAGACCTTGAAGTCGCCGCTGCGCAGGCTGATCTCGGCGAGGCAGGGCACGTTGAAGAAGAACATGTACCAGCTGGCGAAGAACTGCTTCCAGCTGGTGGCGATCCGCTCGACCCAGGCGTCAGGATGGGGCGCATTCATGACGATGAAGCGGTCCACCAGGTCGGGTCGCGTTTGGGCGAGCGTCCAGGCGAGGACGCCGCCCCAGTCGTGGGCCACAAGGACGATCTTGTTCTGCTTTTTGCCGCTCACCAGCGACTCGACTAGCTCCACCAGGTCGGCGACCAGCAGGGGGTAGGCGTAGTTGGCGATTCCTAAGGAAAAAAGGAGTTCGAAAATTAACTTTGTTTCATCTTACTTTCCATTTTCTTTGCTTACCCTTGGGCTTGTCCGATTCTCCGTAGCCGCGCATGTTGACAGCCACGGTGTGGTAGCCGAGGCCCTTGAAGGCGGCCAGCTGGTGGCGCCAGCTGAACCAGCACTCGGGAAAACCGTGCACGAAGAGCATCAGCTGGCCGTCGGTGTTGCCCGCCGAGACGTAGTGCAGCTTGATGCCCGCCTTGGGGAGGGTGATGAAGTGATGGCTGCCGTGGGCGTCCAGCGCCTTCGCCGGCCGTTTCGTGCCGCTCCGGTCCTCAACCGAGAAGTACTTGCTCGGGCCGAGACGAATTATTTCGGTGATCAGGCGGAGGTTGGCGAGGCAGCCGAAGACGAAGGAAAGCCAGTAACCGAGCAGGCGGCCCTGCAGGGTGTTCATTGGAAAGTAGTAGAAGGGAGTCTTTGCCATGATTCAGGGGATGCTTGGGATTCCGAGAATGATGATGATGAGGATGATCGACTCGTGGCCGACTTTCCGACGGCTTTAGTAGTCACTGGTGGAACGCTGCACTGACCGAGGTGCAAGTGCCACACGATGCACTCCTTTTGCCAGTGAGATGACAGTGCACTGATTAGTCAGAGTGCTGGTGCCAGTCTCGGTGTCTGTGTTTGTGTTTGCTTTTGCAGCAGAGCTGTCGGCGTCGCCTCTGAATCTCTAGTGTGCTCTTGTGTATAACAGTGGAAACACTGCCATTTACAGTTGTGCTGCTGCTGCTATCAGTGGGCAATGATATGCGCCGTGGTGTGCCTGCTTTCTTGTGTGCTGCAGTGGTGGTGATGGTAGTGGTGCTTGGGATTGTGCCCGTTGCCAGCACTGCTCGTGGTTGTCATATTAGTCAAGTGTCTGCATGCTGCAATCTCGCTGTCCATCGAGCTGTCACTGTCCAACACTTGCTTGAACATGAGCAGAGCAGAAGGATGAAATTACCACAGCAGCGATGGAAGGGCATTTTTTTGTTTAGTTGATGTTTAGTGATCATTTTCTTTTCTGTTAGCAAATAGCTCATGTTGAAAGATTGGCAGTAAAAAGTTTCTAGAAAACTTTGAACAAAAATTCTGTTTTAGGCCTGTTCCCAACTAATTATCTCGATCCTTACTAGTGTTTGAACAACTGTCTACGATGAAGTAGGGTTGATACCAAGAGAACGTAATAATACTGTCCTATTGCCATCCCTTGTTAGCACTCTTTAATTGCCGCTGTCGATCACAGTGCTCTCTGATGACACCGTCCGGCCGTACTGGCACTGCCGATAATACCGTTCCACTAAAGAAGAAAAAGAAGAATAATGCAAGAAGAAAAGGAAAACCTTTTCTGCCGCATCCTTATCGACCTACTACTTAAGCCACTTTGATACTATTGTGCCTGAAACGTGATAGGTAAAGGGGACAGCTTAACCGACTAGTCACTTATCCAAACTTGATCGGCTGCGCTGATAACCTAGACACCTAAGCACACAAACACTGATCAGCAGCAGCTACAGTAGGACTTCATTTGAAAAGGCCATAAACCAAACGTTGTCCTCTGACGAGATGGCAGGGCTCTAAGATATTTGTATAAAAAGGGAAAAGAGTAGATAAAAGTGCGCATTCAGTCTTGCAGTGTGTGTTCAGTGTCTCGCAAAGTGTAGGCAGCAACAACAACAACAGAAGATGAAATCATCCACTTTTTTCGTGGTGCTGGTGGCCATCCACCTCGGTCTGCTCGCCCTCTCCGTCTCCAGTCTGCCAGCAGCATCTAAACAACAACCAAAAGCAAAGCCCAAAGTAGAGCTGTACTACGAGACACTCTGCCCGTACAGCAAGAACTTCTACCTCGAGCAGTTGGAGCCCACCTTTAAGAAGCTCACTTTAGATGTGGTCGACGTCGAGGTAGTGCCTTTTGGCAACGTGAAGGTCGCCGAGGGCCCGGACGGCATTCCGCTGTTCACCTGTCAGCACGGCGCCGCCGAGTGCTACGGCAACCGCGTGCAGGCCTGCGTCATCGCCCTCACCTCGAATCTGACCACCAGTCTCGACTACGTCCGGTGCGTTTTTGCGCAGACCAACTGGAAGGACACCTACACCAACAGCGAACTGTGCGCCAACCAGCTGGGCCTGAACTGGGCGCAGATTAAAACGTGTCACGCCGGCCAANGCTACGGCAACCGCGTGCAGGCCTGCGTCATCGCCCTCACCTCGAATCTGGCCACCAGTCTCGACTACGTCCGGTGCGTTTTTGCGCAGACCAACTGGAAGGACACCTACACCAACAGCGAACTGTGCGCTAACCAGTTGGGCCTGAACTGGGCGCAGATTAAGACGTGTCACGCCGGCCAGCAAGGTCTCGACCTGATCATCGCCAACTGGAAGCGGACTGACGCCCTTGTGCCCAAGAAGGCCTACGTTCCCTGGATTGTCATTAACGGTAAGTTGGAGAGTTTTAATTTTAAATTTTATTCCAAAACTTTATTTTTCACTTATTAAAGGCGTCCACACTGAGGAGCTCCAAGAAGCCGCTCAGACCGATCTGCTCNACAAGGTCTCGACCTGATCATCGCCAACTGGAAGCGGACTGACGCCCTCGTGCCCAAGAAGGCCTACGTTCCCTGGATTGTCATTAACGGTAAGTTGGAGAGTTTTAATTTTAAATTTTATTCTAAAACTTTATTTTTCACTTATTAAAGGCGTTCACACTGAAGAACTCCAAGAGGCCGCTCAGACCGATCTGCTTGGGTACCTCTGCAAGAACGATCTCGCGGGACAGAGCTTGCCCCAGTGTGCCGCTGCCAAGAACAAGAACTCTAGTGGTTCAAAAGCATCAAACGCCGTCAGCTTTGCTTGAACTTTAACAGCTAGTCCAGTGCCAGTTTTGTGAGCTTCTCCTGTAGCGTTGTTGTGTCCTGAAGCTAACAGCTGCGTGATAATATAAATAAAAAAGGAAATTAGCTCTTTGATGATAACCTATTTATGGATTGTATGCCCAGTGTTGATATATCAACTGCATCCTCACTTTAGAGGCTATAAAAAGAGTGCCGACGACAGCGGGTCTTTTACCACAAACAAACGATCTTTTTTGTACAAAACCATGAAGTTCACTGTCATCCTTTTAGCCTTGGTGGGCTTCACCGCTGCTGCTGAACCTGCAGTCAAACCGGTGAAGATCTCTCTTTACTACGAAAGCCTCTGTCCGGACAGTCGCGCCTTTGTGCTCACCCAGCTGGCGCCCACCTACGAGAAGCTGGCCGCCCACCTCACCCTCGACCTGGTGCCCTTTGGCAATGTCAATGTAACTCACGCCAGCAATTCATCCACGCCCCGTTTTGCCTGTCAGCACGGCCCAGCCGAGTGCTATGGGAATATCGCCGAGGCGTGTGTCATTGCCCACCAGCCACCGGCGGCGGCTCTGAGTTTTGTCCAGTGCATGTTCCTCGGCGTTCACCGGGCCGTGGACAGTTGGAAAGATACGCACTTTAACGCAGAGGCCTGCGCTAACCTGCTCTTCTCCAACTGGGGCTCCACCGACCTGAAGAAGTGCATCGACGGGCCTGAGGGCGAAAAGCTGATTGAGGCCAACTGGAAGAAGACGGAAGCCCTCAAGCCAAAACACACTGGCGTCCCCTGGATTCTGGTCAACGAGGCGGTGCACACGCCGGAGATGCAGCGACAGGCACAGTTCTCTCTCAAGGACTACCTCTGCAAAGAACACTTTAGCAAGGCGAACCTTTTGGAATGTATGGCGTAGAAAAAAAGATTGTTGTGCTGCGAATTGTCATCAGTTTGGAATGAACAAAAGCATTGTGCTTTAAAATTGCATAAAAATGTTTTGAATGCACAAAGTGAAAATATGCCCTATAGTCACTCCTTTAATACCGGTGATCCTGCAGCAGCAGCAGCTTCGCCTGAGTTCTCCAAAACATCATTCTCATTTGTGAGAGATGCGGTGATGGCAGCCTCAGTACTTGTTGAGGAAGACTTGTTGCTGAGGGTAATGTGCTGGGCGATGATGGTGCTCAACACTGCTTCTGAACGACTTTTGGCAGTGCCCAGAGCAGAGATGGCCTTGTGCAGTGTTTGTGAGCCTTCAGCAGCGCTAGTGGTGGTGATCTTTTTGCCGCCCGTATTTCGAACTCCTTTACCAGCTCTACCTAGACGAGGTCCTCCACCAGTAGTCGGACCTGGTTTGGCACTACCAGCGATGTGACTGAGCACATCTGCCGCCTGGTTGACCTGAGCCTGGGTGCTTTCACCGGCCAGTAGCCCAACGGTGTACTGACTTTGGTCATCGTACAGCAGCACAAAGTGCTTCAGGTCGCAAATGTACAGCCTGGCGGTGCCCTGCGCCACCTCGACGACGGCGCCCGGTACCTTGAGAGCTTCTTCGGCCAGCCCCTCTTCTGTCCAGTAGGCGATGTGCAGCTGGCCACTCAGCTGGAAGGTGCTGGGCGCCTCGAAGAGGTACCCACTGCCCAGTTCGCCGTAGACTGCTAGTTGAGCATTTTCTCCAGAAAGATTGATAGCCAGTGGACGGCTGTTTGCTGGGGCCACGCCTGTCTCCGTTACCAAGTCGTGGTCGTGGGCCATGGACTCGTTGGCCGGATCAAAGGGGACGACCTCGATACAGCCGCTGCTGCGGCGCAGCGGGTACGGCTTTGCTTCATCGAGCAGCTTGGTGACAAAGCCTAATAGTGAAAATAAAGATAAAAAGTGCTTAGAAATCCTGAATGATGAACTAACCGGTAACGTAGGCAACCGGGCGAAGGTAGATCCGTCCGAGAAGGTAGTAGATCATGTACAGCTCCTGCTCTTCCTCTTCGTAGTAGGCGTTTTCTGTTGGGGCAGCTGAAATGGAGGCAGTGGCCAAAGTTGAAAGATCTGTTTTGCCGCCGGTTTCTTGTGATTTGACTGCACTAGCAGAGGAAGGTTCCTTGAACTTGACTGAAATGGCTGAAGATGGTTTGCTGGTTTTGGCTGTCGATTTGTTGGTCCCAGAAGCAGAGGTGCTCTTGCCTGACGTTTTGACATTCTTTTTGTTGAGCGCACTTGTTTTGACAGTTGCTTTAGTGCTGCTTTTGGCAGGAATAGTGGGCTTTTTCATGCCACTGGACTTTAAAGCACTGGAAGTTTTACCATTTAAACACAAGTTTGAACGAACTGAAGCTGGCTTCTTCAGCTTACTCGGAGACGGCTGAACTGTTTGCTGTGAGTGAAGAATAAGTGGTTTAATGAATGGTGATGACAATGAAGTGCACATTTACTTTAGAGTTCATCTTAGGGAACAAGCAGTTTGTCAGAAGTTAATGGCAATGCTAACAACAAATGCGCAAATGATTACTAAGCGTGCATTGGGTGCTTTTGTAAAGAAAGAGATTTGCCAGTTCGAACTTTTTCCCTAATTAAACTTTTATTCTAAATTACTTTTCACAAATGTTTTACCAACCAAAAGTGAGAAAGGGAGTGAGCTACCTTTTCTTCGCCTTCTTTGTGGTGTTGGTGGGCGGATTCTCCTTTGCCAGCTTCTCACGAATCTGCTCGAAGAACACCGAAGGACGACAGGTTGAGGTGACCAGCGTCTCCTGAGTGTCCTTGCCCCCACCACCGCCACCTGAGCTATCCCTTGGCCTCGGTTTGGGCGTCCGTGGACCTACTTTCGATACCGCCTTCATCTTCATCTTGGGCTTAGGCTTGGACCTAGGTTTGGAGGACCGGGGACGAGGAGAGACGGCAGGTGGCTTGGCTTTAGGCTTGGCAGATCGAACTGGCGGTGGCATGAGCACAGTGTTCTGGCGTGGAGCCACGGTTGAGTGCTGCTGCTGCGGTGGGCCTTTGCCTTGGACGAGGGTAGGCTGATGGTGTCCATTACCTCCTGTGGTCGGCTTGGGTTTCACAGTGTGAGAAGGCTTCGCTTTTGGAGGGTTGACCGCCGCCGCTGCCGCAGCAATCACCGTCTGAGCCAGTGTCTTGCTCTTGCTGTGGCCAGTCGATCTACTTCGTCTCTTGTGCTTTTTCGCTGTTCTAGTGTGACCTCCTCCTCCTCCACCTCCACCACCCCCACCTCCCGAACTGCCACCACGTGAACGATGGTGATAGGAGCGGTACTCATCGGTGGATCGGTAGTTTCTGTCTCCATCTCCGTTGCCTTTGCTTCCTGTGCAGCAAAGGTAGGCGGATAGAATTAAGACTAAAACCACAAAGGAAATGAAGAGACCGCCGCCAATGAGAACGATGTAGAAACTGCTGTTGTCTGTTGTTGTTCCATTGATGCGCCCATCATCGTGGTTGTCGCCAGCAGAAGCAGTTGTGCCCGCCGGCTCACTGGAAGACTCGCCAGTGGTGCTTTCCAAATTGTGCTGCTGAATAGGAGTGCCCAGGTCTGGGGCTTGAAGCAGCAGCAGGGCGACAGTGATGAGCAGGACAGAATGCTGACGCAACAGCTGCTTAGAGTTTGTCATGCTGAGTGAGGGTAAAATGAAAATAACTAGCTCGCTTTTAGGCATCTCAGTTTAATTAGACTAGGCGGACCATTGTTGACTCAGGTAGGTTTTCATTGTTGAGACAGTGCCACTTCAGAGAAGGCACAGTGAGGGCGACCCCTTGCGTCCTGTCACTGAGCATGACAAATGATTCAGCCGAGGCACATATTAATAAAAGGGCATGAAATGGAACATTGCACAACGCACTGTTCTCCTCAAGTTCTGCCGAACACGATGTCGCAGCTGCCACCACGGCGACCTGTTTGGTTCCTGAAGCTCAATTCCTATGACGACATAAAAACGCTAATTCCACCGCGTACTATCTGTAAGTCATGTGAAAGGCGTTGTGTTTACTCCTTCTAACTGCTGTTATCTTTTTCCATTTAGACCAAAGCAACACGCTGGGAAACTCATTTAGAATTAGCGATATTGCGCCCTTTCTTGGCCCTCTTAATGATGAATACAAGGTGTTTCTACGCTTCTGTAAGCCCGTGCGAGGACAAATTCATCAGCTCGATTGCTTGCCAAAGTCATTCAATCTGATGATTAATCAG